CCTCTTCTCTGTATGCTCTTCCTGAAGGTGCAAACTCTAGGACAGGTTTCCATGTTTAATTCACACCAGCAAGTAATCTTTGCAGTCAAGGAGGCTGATTTAATGGCAAGAACAATTTATTTCCCTCTGGGTAGGTAGAAACAGTTGGACTGTAATTCTTAAGAGCCTTTGTTCTGGAACATCTGGGTTGAAACTACTGTAGTTAACAGATGATGTTGGCAGTAAAAAAAAAAGGGGGGGGGCCTTGTATAATGTCGTTGTCAAATTTGGTAGACCTCTACTTAATAATTACCAAGAAAGCAATCTAACTTGTTATTATAACATTTTTATTGCAGATTGCTGGTTTAAGACCTTTTGGTGACAAGTGGCTTTTTTTTTCTCAAAAAAGAAGTCATTTCCATTCCCCTGTGATTATTTTTGCAACCAGCAACAACTTCCTGCGTTGGACATATTTGGGGCATTTTATTTTAGAAACCAAGAATTAAATTATTGCTAGCTTATGGTTGATTTTATCCCATTTTTCACGTTGTGAAGGCGTTCTTGCTTCCTTTTTTGCCCCTTACCTTACCTCATCCTGCTTCCCGATTCCACACCAGTTCTGTATACACTGACACACTATAGGCTAAGTAAAGGCAGAATTAGAATAAGGATTAGATGCCTAATGCCCATTCTTCTTTACCAAAAAATGATGTTGAATGTTGCAAGTCAATGTTTAACCAGAGAACATCAGTCCTGGGTAGACTGAAAGTATATATATTCTCAGGAGTGTAGGGGGTACATAAGGGTATAACAGGGTCTATAGAAGGTCCCAAGGACAAATGGTTGTATTTTAGAATTGGACTTGCATCTTGGCATTGTGGATTGAAGGCAAAAATTAGATTCCCAGAGCATATCACTGCTTTTTTTCCTTCTGTATCCTTCCTTTCCCATCTGTCTGCTTCTAACAAATAAGACAAGCTAAGAAGCAGCTTGTTTCATGATGCTGTACTCACTTCCAAGCTTTCTCCGCTTAGACTTTCCTAGTTTGCCACTTTGTCTGTTCTCCATCACTTCAGCCACTCATGAGATTCTTCTCCCCTTTCATACATGCATTTATTTATCCAGGCTTTACTGAAGGCTTACTCTTTGAACTTTGCAAAATGCCAGTGAGGCCAAGCATACATCCTGTATAGGAAAAACTCAGTCTAGAGGGGAAAGACAATTAAACAGGTGATTACTGAACCAGCTCGCCTGTTTACTCATTTTGCTCTGCTCTTCCCCACTGGACATCTCCAAGAGAGGCTGCATCTCTGCAGCAGGATGGAGTCCTTAAGCCCAGGACCCTGATATTGGCCAACTATCTGTGGCAGGATCTAACAAAAAAGTGTGACTTGAACACTCACAGAGGGAGCCACAGCTCTGTTTCCAGTGTAAATCATGGTTGATTATGCATGATTTGTATTTTGCCAGTATCCAGAGGATACCTGTTACAGTAGGGATTAAAAACTTAGATACCTGTAGGAGTCAGGCAGTTACCAACAAAGAATGAAGAGTCCGGCGTTCTGAGACAATAGAGAGTGGTGGGGACTGTGGCATCTTGGAGAACAAACATCTCATCCAGAGGGATAAGTGCTTTGTAGCTGCACTGTTTTGGCCATGTGGAATGTGGAGCCAGTATAGCCATATCTGATTTCTCAAGGAAAGCTGAAAAGCCAGTTTTTATTTAAATTCACTTGTTGACATCTATTTACAGTTTTTAAAAAACACTGTACTCACCAAACAGAATGTGTCTGCCTGTTGGGCTTGTGACTGCCACTTCATTTCCTCTGTTCTGATGAGAAGCATCTGTGCAGCACACTGCCTCAAAGACTCAATTTCCACTTTTGGCTTTTTACATAACAGTTATTTGACCTTGACCCAATTGCTTTCCCCTGTTTATACCTCAGTTTGTCATCTGCATAGGAAGAGCAGGATCAGCCAGTCTTGAAGGGCTCATCTGCAAATCTATGTTGTGGTGTGGCTTGCCTATGTTCTCTCTGTTCACATCATTCTACCCCTCTCCTTTCCTTTAGCCAAAGGGCAACAGCTTGTTTTGGGTCAAAAGACTTCTTAAAAAGGGGCTTCTATAAGGCATTGCAGAATTATCTTAGGTATGGATTTGAATTTATGGAATTGAAACTGGAGAAGGACTTAAATCTGCAGATCCATTGCCTATAAGGTTAAGGAATAAGTACAACACCACATAGATTTTATGAACTTTCCTGCAGTAGTAGCTAGGAAGACATAATTCACCATTACTATGAACTGTTTCTTCCCTTCTTACCAGTGGGATCAGGTTTATAAAAGCAATGAAGATCTTTGATCCCATGAACTGCCAGAGTCCCAAATTGGACTGGTCATTGCTCATAGGATATCAGCAAATTAACCTTTGCATGATCCATACCAAGTTAAGATCAGCCTTCTCCCTAATGTTTTGGCATTTAGCTACTATTTACATTAGAGAGTGGTTACTTAATGTGGTAATTTGGTTCAATAAACATTGCATAAGCTATCTGATTTTTTTTTTAAACAATGTAAGCTGCAGAAGTAACAGTCCCATAAAGGGTGCATGTTAGCAGTGCTCTTTGGGATATAAATTAAGGAGGGCATTTTCCAGCTATAGCTGGATATGTGTGTTGTTGTTTCAGCAAGCTGCATAATCAGCACAAAGCGCAGGTCATTGGAGTCCGTTGGCAGGAATCAGAAAACTTGCAAATCACCAGGGGATCCCAGATATGCCTGGATAGAAGTAGTCCTTTGACATCTGACCGTCTGCTGAAGGCAGTGCTGGGGACCACAGCCTCACATGTAGGAATGAGCAATTTGGTCTCACTTCCTGGAGAGCATGAGGCCTTCGTCAGCACTTTTCTTGAAAGCAACACATCCCCATATCCAGCACATCTGATTATGTCACTTTTCTGTTTTAAACCAACTGAAATCCCTCCATTCCACTTAAAATAAGGTGCAGACTCCTTGCTCTGGAGAGCAAAGACCCTACCATCTTGCTCCCACCTCGTGTCCTGACCTAATCACGGTCACGCTTGACTTTGCTCACTCAGCTGCAGTCTTACTGGATTTATTGCTGATCTTCAAATACCCAGAGCTCTTCCCTGCCTCAGGGCCTTTGTGCCTGCTGTTTTTACTTTCTAGAAAGCTCTTTCCCCGTATCTTTTCATCAAGCTGTTGTGCTCCTTGCATCCTCAGATTGATCCAACTGAACCACCACAGATTATATACCCCTTCTGAGTTACTCTTTAGCAACTTAGGTTGTTTTATTTTCAGATAGAACTTGTCATCATCTAGAAATTTATTATTTACTCACTTGTATATTTGCTTATTGTCTGTCTCTCCCAATACAAAATAGGCTTCACTGGAGGTCAAGATGTAGTGTCTCCTGCCAGGTATTAGCTGGAGGCCTTAGGCAAGTTACATGGACTTTCTGACCCTTGGTTTCATCACCTGTAAGATGGAGCTATCAATAGAAGTCTGAATAATAAGGGTAGTAACTTCCTCTTAGGGATATTGAGGGGGTTAAATTGAACCACCAGGAGGTCCTCTTCCCACTGTGACCCAGCACCTTATCTTACTTACAATGCCCGAGCTAAATAAGCATCAACTCATTATTCAATCTATCAGTTAATCAATGTTTTATTATTCAAAAATGGTGATGCTTACTGTAGAAACTTGTCATACATTATGTATATAATTATTTTGTTTATGTGAGCTTTTATTTAAGTATGAAAGTATATAGTTTCATCTAATTGTATTGTGCTATTTATGTGTTCATGTCTTTTTATATATTTGTTCTATTTACATGTTCATGTCTTTATATAATATTTGTTCATTTTATATCTTGAAATATTCTTTGAAAAGCCATTTGGAATGCTAATACCATATTGCACTGTACTTTATTGCCTTATTATTGGACATTTAGGTTGCTTTCAGTTTTTCTACTCAGTATAAATAATACTTACTCTGAACATCTTTAAGCATAAATATTTTACTGCACCTTTTGTTATTTTCTTAGAATTGAAACCCAGTAAGTGGAAGCCGTTTGTTTAACTTCTCTGTATTGGTGGGTCTATTCACTATGCACTATGGAGAATTCCAAACAAGTCCAGCTCTCTTAAGGAAGTTTCCCTGGCTGAGGAGACAAAGTTCAGACACATGAAACAATAGGGAGTGACCATAGCCAGTATAACATTGACTAAAAGCTCAGTGATTTGGTTGCAGACAAGATGCTGGGAGAGTTTTGAGAATAGAAAATCACAGGGTAGCAGTTGCTGGAGAAGACCTACTAGTTGGAAGATTAGAGTTGATGTGGCATGGGAGGACGGGTTGGGAAGAGAGAAAGCATTGGAAGTGGGGGCCACACAAGGGAAGGGATGGAAACAGGAACAAGTCAGCCTCAAAGCAGTCCGCCCTGCAGTCGAGAGCATCGGGCAGATGAGGTGAGACAGCTTGAATGGAGCCAGGAGTGACAATGCCATCATCATGTGCTGGGCACTTACACAGAGGCGAAGTATTATTATCATCATTCCAAGCACACAGGGGTCTGCTCGGAACAACAATATGAGCCATTTGTACAAAAGACCGAAATGGAATCCAAATAGCAGGTCCAGCTGGTCCAAATCTTTCCCTCCCCCTGTAGTTAACATTTTACTACCCGACTGAGTAACTAATGAATCTGGCCCAGTGAAAATCCCCAGGCACAAATCCCTGCTTGGGCTCTGTGTCTAGACAGCCAGACTGGAGTGCAATTTGCACTTTGAGCGTTCAGCACCTTATCACTTGCAAGAAATCGGGTTTAATGGGGACGATGGGGAGGTGTTGCTTCCACCCCCTCCCTTTGGCACGCTGGTGGAATGAGGATCCCCTCAGATAATGACTGCATTAGGAGACTGGAAGATCGTAATAGTGTTTGTTATGTGTCTCTGGTCATTCAGAAGCACTGACTGGGAGGCTTCTCCATCTCATTGCAGGCTGTGTTTTGTGAAGCTCAAGCTCCTAATGATAGCCATTGAATACAAGTCTGCCAACCGAGAGAGCCGGTAAGTTTGCAGCGACCCAGCAGCCGGCTGACACTTTTGGTGGTGAGAGTGCATTCTGAGAACGGTCGGTTCACTTCTGCTTTTTTGTGCATTATTTATCTGCATGGAACCAGATGTAACACTTCTCTGACCCTAGAGCACATTTTGAGGGATGCCCCAGCAGACACTGCAGCTTCTATGCCAGACCAGCCTGGCATCCAAAGCCCTGCTGGGCATTAAGAGAGTGTTTCTCCAGGGGAGAAGGATGAGTCTTCCATATATCTCCACCTGATCATGCCGACCTGGACTTTTCACCTTCTAAGTGTTAAACTAGACCTTAAAACCTCTTTTCACTGCGATGAGCAAAAAAGCAGGTGGACTCTGGCCTCCTTTATAACAGCCTTGAGATAGAGCTGTGAGGGGAGACACCAGCTCTCTTGATAGCCAAATTACAAGCAACCTATTGTGTACCATATGTGCTTCTCCCGGTGCAACCAAAATCCAGGTGGCAGAATATCAGCTTCATGTAAATGAGCCAGGAGAGTAGGGCTCAGAGGCAGGAGCTCTCTTTATTTATTTATTTTACACTTAATTATGTGCAAATCAGACTGATGAGGGCCTGGGTCTGGTTGAAATAGATAACATCCCAGTCAATATATGAGTTTACGATGGAGGAGGGAAGCATCGTGCTAACAAGAAATTTTGCTGATGGAGTACTGTATGCATTACAGATACAATAGAGATGATTTTTTTTTCTTCCTTAATTCTTGTCAATAGTTTTGGAAGAAACAGAGCTCACTGAGAAATACTCAAGCTTTTGTTCTCTGAAATAATACCCATAGTCTATTCTTCCGTAGTACATTTTTTTTTGATCCTGCAGATGCCCAAATGTAGAGTGCAGATCCCCTCCAACAAACACCTTAATAACTGAGCAGAGTACAGGGCAAGACTAGAAGTTTCCTATTATCATCAGTTAAGTTTTCCTTATCTGGGTGAATGACCCAGTACAGCCAGACTTTCAAATGTACAGCCTGTGCCTATGACAAGACAAAAGAAAAGAAAATACTGGATTGTCAGCAGATCAGTCCAATGTTTTCTGTTACCTTAACTATCAGATCAGATTGCCCACAAAGTCAATCTGATCAAATGTTAAGCTATTTTGAAAATCCAAATCAACCAAAAGGAAGAAAAAAATGGTAGATTTGGTGACCGTATGTAGAACATGGCTGTAGCGGTTAACAAATATGAAGATAGATAAATATTTTCTTTTTCATGTTGGCAAAGTGAAGAATATTGTTTGTGAAAACTGAGAGTCCTGGTTATTTGCTGTTTAGCAGATGAGGCAGAATTTTCTGGAATTACTGTTTGCCCATGTTTTTGCCAATACTCCCTTGTACCTGTGTAGGGGAACTGTGTGTATCCTGGATTTTTGCAAATGATATTCTCCATGTTGCCAAGTCAGCAAATCTTTGTGTACCTCAATGTTCTCTATTTACTTTTGTGTATCTTTAAAAAAAAATGTCATGATGTGGGTGATGCTGATGCTGAATAGTGTTTTTTGACCATTCTGGAATAATCTGACTGCAGGACATTGCACCCTGAACCTTGAGCACTTGTCTCTAACTCATTTCCTTTTGATCCCAAGGAGAGAGAAAGAGTAAAATGCTGTTAATGGTTCATTGTGAACCCAATGTCACCATTCTAAGAAAACAAACTCAGAGCTGAAGATGAAACTTTTCTTCGATAGATCTTTCATTTGAGTCACAATTCTGAGATGTTTTCAACAAAGCCATGTTTATAGCTATAGTTTTTAGTATTTTTCTTTTTCAGAACAGGGCAAAAATGACTTGTTTGGCTTTGTTTGGGTTTTCTATGTGCAGTCGCCAGCTTTAATTCTCAAATGTGGCTTGGTCTCAGTGTGGAAGCACATTGGTTCTTGTGGAAAAAGGTGTGTTTGAGGGAATGTGGATCATGCCTCTGAGAAAACACAGGACTTAACAATATCCACGTTAAAGATAAACATTTTTTTTATCTTCCCTGAGAATAATTTTCATTTTTTTCTTTATTTAAAAATGTCCCATTTCTTTTCCTCTCATGTTTTCTAACTGACTGGGTGTGAAAATTCCAAGGACCTGCTTCTCCTTCCCACCTTCTTTAACCTGTGTTTAACAGCCTCCTTTGTTGGTTTCACCCCATGATACTGTTTTCATGCTTTGCTGAAAAACCTTGTTTTCACATGCATCCTTCAAGTGATTTGAAACAAAGGTTTTATTCCTTCTTTCCTTCTGGTGTCAGTCAATTTATTATCAAATTGTTTGATTTTAAATTCTTTTCTTGTCGTTTTGCAGAAGCCGAAAGCGGTATGCTCTTCGTTAACTTTTCTTCCAACCTCCACCCTCTGTCTTCACTCCTAACCACAGGACTAACCATTTGCCAAGAATTCAAGAAGAGAGAGATTATATATATGTATATATAATCTCATTCCCTTGTCCAGTGTATATATATATTATATATATATGAGTGTATATATGTATGTATATTATATATATATATATATATATATACACCCCTCTCCAACTAGAGTGCATAAATTGGAAGTAGCCTATTTCTGTTCTTGTTTGATTTGTTGGTTCTTTTGGATGACGCACTAACTTCTTTGCAGGAAACCTAAAAAAAGGAAAGGCACACTCCTGTTTTCAGTCATGGCACTAATAATGGGAACAAATACTATTAAAGCTGAAAAGGAGGACGCTTCTCTCCAGCCCTTTGTGTCTGTTTCTGTATTGTCCTGATGTGTCTTGGTGTCCATTGGACTCTGGTGCCATTTTTGTCTACATACCACATCCACATTCCCAGTGACCTCCTCCTCCCTGTGTTGAGTTTCTGGTCTATAGAGCAGAGTTAGTGTCCTTTTATCCACAAAACAGAGACCAAGCCCTTACACTTCTATTTTTGCCTGACATTTATTTTGGTGATAACATTTTGAATATTTTATTCGTTGGGCAGTGCTCCGTATAGACTTTAGAACACTGCTATTAAATTGCCAGATTATCACACTTGATTTACTGAGTTAGTATTGTTTATTGAGACAAACTCATGGCTTTTTAAAAATAAATCATAGTGTGTTTGGGGGCATATTTCTTAATATGAAGTTTCTCAATTTTCACCATGTGATTTCACCCTGTTTTGCTGCTGTTTTACATTGCATGAAGCATGACTAAATCATCATCAATGACATTTTAAAAAAACTTTTGGGTTATTAGTTCTGGCATAGCTTTTCAATAATGTGTTCTCCAAGACAATATTGTTGAAAACATACTATTGAGATGCCTACTTGTTCATCTTTTCAAGAGTTACTTTTCTCTGTGATTGTAATCACTATCATGTGTTTGTGTTTGTAATTGTGTGTGTGTGTGTGTATGTGTGTGTGTATCTGTGTATTTGTCTGTATCTCTTTCCAAAGTTCAATTCTTCTGTGATTGTTTGAGTACATGTAAACAAATAGAGGTGGCTTCCTGTCAGTTTGGTATTAATGATATGATCCAACTGCAAGAAGTTACTGCAACACTTTGCATCTTAAAGGTCCACAGTGTTTGCACCTCTGCTGTTGGCTTTTGGCCTTTGAGTCCTTTTATCTTGTGGTGAAGGCATGTTGTGATGTAGGCATGACTTGTCCTAAATATATCAGAAAATGATTTGGCTTGCTCCCAGAACCAAATATCCAGTGTTATCCTTTCTAGATTACCTCTCTCTTCCCCATCCCATATGGCTAATATTTTCTGTCTGTGCAAAATACATTTGAAAATGCCATTTCCAAAGTTATTCAGATGGATGCAGGCTAAGTAAGTCCTCACCAATATTTCTGGTGGACCACAGTGGCAGTTATTTGAGTCTGAGCAACTGGGAGCAATCTTTATCATGCTGACTGTGTGTAAGTGAACTGGGCTTAAGTATCTTGATGTATGAAATACACAACTGTGTCTCCAACAGTATTCTAAAGTTAAAGTGTGTGTGTCTAGTTGGGTGGGACTACAGCAGCCTATATTTTAAAGCCCAGAAAAAATGAAAAGTTCCAGAAAAGTGATAAGATTTAAGATGTGGGGTTTCTCCGAGCTGTGCCTGTACATGGCCTACAAACTACAAATGCAGTCACACTCCCTGAAAGGGGACACAATTGGTTCAAACAAAGTTCCAACTCAGAATCATTGTATATGAACTTGTGTGATCAAAGAAGCCTCTTCTCAATGGCATGATTCATCTGGACATAGCGTGAACGGAAACCCTAAATGGTTCTTATTTGCTTGCTTTAGTTAATGAAGTCCCATTAGCTTACTAGGCACAAATGTAATTACCATGTTATTAAGTACAAACTGTGTTCTCATATGAGTCATGCGATTTTTTAAAAATTTCCTGAGGAATGGTACATTACACTTACCAAAAATGGAAGGGAGAGGAGAGAAATATGTATCCATCATATTTACCCGTAATGGATAGAAGTTTCCTTAAAGAATATCTGTTTCAGTTGAATGACCAATCATTGATTGTCTCCAGAAACAGGAAACAAGTTTACAATGATTGAAGGCAAACCCAGATGTCTTCCCGTTATGCACAGGTGGTGGAGAAAGGAATACATCACCTTCCTCCACCAAGCTACAGTCTTCCAACCTGACCAGTGTTTAGTGAGAGATTGAGAGATACCCAAATAAATGGGACACAACTTGAGACGTGGTACTCCTCTCATGGAGGAACGTGATGGAGACATTTCCCCGTGGGACTGAGCCCTGCTAGCCAGTTCTATGTGTTATGTGTTTTATGTTTAGGAACACATATTTCTCCTTGAAGTTTTGCTTTCAATGTTGAAATCAATTGCTCCAACTTCACTAGTGGCACGCTGTTTACATATTGGTATATTTATGTATTCCTACTTAACGCATCTGAGAGATGGCTAGTTCATTGGCTGATCCCTAGCCCTAGCAGAGGTGTGGTCACTCCTTTGATTGGCCTGACCAATGAGAATTGCAGCTTGTTCTTTGAAAGAAAACTGACTTTCTTTCCACTTATTTAAAAAGAAAAGGAAAATTCTTGGAACTGAGGCTTAAAAACTTATCTTTTTTAAAAAATTTATTTATTCAACAAATAGTTGAAATGTGCCTGTTGCATGCAAGGTTCTTAGCCTGCTACTCCAAGAAATTCAAAAGTAAACAATACAATCATGTTTTATACCACTCTATTTAACTGTGGGTTCCTTACAGAAAATACGTATTTCACCATGTTGGCCAGGCTGTACTTGAACTCCTGACCTCGTGCTTGAGGCAGGAGAATTGCTTCAACCCGAGAGGCAAAGGTTGCAGTGAGTTGAGATCGCGCCACCACCCTCCAGCCTGGGCAACAGGGCATGACTCTGTCTCGGGAAAAACAAAAACAAAACGTATTTGCTCCATATAGGAAGTGAGTAAACAAAGAATAAGTTGAGATGTAAAACTAATCTGAGAGCAAAAGAAACACAGAGAGCAAGTATCCTTGAAGAAGGGACCACACTAGCCCTGTGCTTCCAGCTGTCACTGGATGTTTTCTGCTGAAACCAGCAAGGTCAAAGAAGAAAGGATAATTTATATGTTCCTTGAAATGAGAGAAAGTCCACCTCTGCCAAGATGTCCTTGTTGGAATTCTGTCAATGGATATATGGGCTTTTTCTTTCGGAGATTTTCATGATTCTTCACATGACACATGTTGAAGTTTATCTCTGATAAGCTAATTAATTACATCAAGTTGGAGCCAGAGAACTGATTTAGAGTGGCGCACAGGGAGGGAGAATTTTGGCAATCATTAGAACAAAACAAACTTAACACTGGATACTCTCCTAAAGAGATCAGAGATCCTTGGAAAAAAATATACATTCCTATTAGGAGATCAATGACACATTCTAAAGATAGTAGGCAAAAGGGGGAGAAAGTTATGGCTATCTAGAATCCTTCTCTTTTTATATTTTGAAGAAGAGGGGGATAGCATTTTATTTAACCTTTGTGTATTTGGAATGTGTATAGAAGAATTAATGTTTAAAATATCAAAACAATAAAAAACAACCAGTAATGTAGTTCCTGGTGCTTCAGCACCAAGAGCATCTTTATGTATCTAGATTTCTTTCTTTCATTATTTCAAGGGCTGGGTCCATTCTTTAGATTCCCATCTAGAAGGCTGCCTCAGCCTTAGCTCAGTATCTGTAAGTGGTGCTGCCTCACACCTCACATGGGGATGATTTAAACCCCCTCACCACCACTGTCCACACAGGGAACAAGAAGGCATCCTGGAATCCACATGGTATGTGAGGTAACTAGAGATGCTTTTGGTTCCATACACCATCAGCCATAGATTCAAGAAACAGACGATACTTCACTATGCAGACAACAGTCAGTCTAAATTAGCCCATCACCAGATATTGTGCAGGGATATGATGTTTTGGATTTTCTGCATCAGTGGAAAGGTCTTTCAATGCCAATAGGGCACCTCCTGGGTCATTTATTAGCAGTAGGGATAAAGTGGAGAGTGGTGGTGCTGTGAGGATTTATTTACCTCTCAGTTTTATAATCACCTAGCTCACTCAGAGTAGCAGCTATGAATTTAAGACCTTCTATGTCTCAGTCACTTAGCACATAGTACATACTTTAACTCTCTTAGAGACATTGTAAGCTAGCGATTATTCACCCATTTTACAGATGAGAAGCGTAAGGCTTACCTGCATTTACAAAGCCAGGACCCAAATAGCTGAGAACTGATTCACGTGCCTGAGCACTTAACCAGCATCAGGAGCAATCCTGGGACACCAATGTGCTTTACATCAGAGCCCCAAATCTTTCTTCTCTGCCTCACTAACCAGACTAAAGCAAACTCAAAATCTGTAATAAATTATCTTAACCTGCGCTTTCTATAATGCCAATTCTAAATGTTCACTGTAGGCCTATTCTCTAATTCTTGTTCATTGTTGATAAAGAATAATGTATCACATAATGTGAAAAAAGGAAACAGCATTCTATCTGATGCTTGTTTTTTTTTTCCATATATGTTACCAAGATGTTGATGTGGGTCAAACTTTTCCTTTTGAATTCTGTTGTTCAAGTCACGATAGGACTTTTTTTCCACTCAGAATTTTTCTTGCATTTTTATATGAATGCATGTTAAAATGTAGGCTTTTGTAGCTTTAAGGAACTAGCTCCTTCAGGCTCCAGAAGTGCATGGAATTTTTTGTATATGTCCTTATACATTGTTCTGGAGTGTACAGTTCTTTACCCTGTAACTTCATCTCATTAATGAGCAAGGTAGTTTGATAAGAAGCCTGTATTATATTCCATGGGGTCAGCTAGAGAAAATTTCTGATAACTTTGTTGAAAATGAAATACACTTTATATTTTCTTCTTTTTGGTAAGAATTAAAGGAGCAATAACCACATGGATCAAGCCTTCTATATATTATCTCACTTAATTTTCTGAACAAATACTATTATCACCATTATTCAACTCTTGTAGGTAAGAAAATTGAGTTCTAGGGAGATTTAATAACAGTCCAAAGTCCAACAGCTATTAAGTGGTAGTGCTGGAATTTGGACCCAAATTCTGATTGCAGAGCCAGGACATGTAAAAACTGCCTTGCAGGAAAGGAGGTAAGAAGATGTGCAAAATTTAGAATGCTGCCTTTCTAAAACATCATATTGAATTGGCTTTGAAAAATAGATTCATCTAAACTGTATGTGCTCTGACACTTCGCCCTCCTGATTGCATAAAGTTAGAGAGCTCGTTATATTCATGTGAAGAGTTGGCGGAGGGGTGATTAGGAGGTGCCTATGGAGAGCTGCCACTCAGCGCAGGCCGTGCTATTTGCGTGGACTGCTTCTCTCTGATTTGGGAGGATTCGCATTGCTGCCTGTGGTTGTAGGGCAGAACAGTCAAATCTTCATAGCCTTTTGTTATTATTGAGTGTTAATAATAGCTATGACACAAATACAGTTTCCTCCTGTCGGGTTTTGTTATAGGTGATGGTAGATGTTCTTGTGACCGCAGACAATTATTTTGCAATAATAGTCTGCTCAGAGGTCTCCCAACCAGGTGAACAAAGGTTCACCTGGGTCCTTCCTGTATGACTACAGACATGTTACTTTGTTGATCACAACACTTTCCTGGAATGGCTTACCAGTAGAAAAAAAAAGATTACATGGTGTTAATTACCATCCTTTATATTTTGATTGTTTGGGGTAGCTGAGAACTTCCTTTAGACTGATTCCAAATATCTATTATCTCATTAAGCAACATCTTTTCAGAACAAGGAATACCTCTGTTGTGTCTGTTGCTTCACTCAGAGTCCCAAGTTCGGTATTCATTAAGCCTAAATTCTCTTCTCAGTCTCTGCATAAGACATTCTTGTATTCTGCTTTCGATCTGCAGAGAAGTAAACTTGTTTGTTTCATCCATTTATTAGATTAGGATACGTTTGTCTCTTCTGTGAGTCCAAGCACAACGTGGTCAGTGAATCTATTTACACCACTTTGAAATAGGACAATGTATATTTAGGTTCCCACTTCTCTGTAGGGCAAGTTTTCTTTAGGGGTGGTTTGCATTTGTTTTCTCAATTTGCCTCAATTAGGACATGCTAGACACACATCTTATTCAAACACCCTGTATGTTTTTGTAAACAGCAGACTGGAATCGTTAAGTATATCCAACTGCTGACTTAAAGAAAAAACTGTTTGGTTAAATTCAGTTCTTCCTATAAAGGCTGAACATGGAATCAATTTCCATGTCCTTATCAGTGTCATGAAGATGTTCAGTTTGCTTCCACATTGGTTATGGGTGTCTTGTACCATTCCCTGGGGTACTATGTGGTGTGTGTACATGTATGTTTATGTATACATATAGGGGTCCCATTAATGCTCTGTCATCTAATGGAAAACTGGCATAGCAGTAGCTTCATCAGGCCAATAATACTTCTGTGTTGATCACCAGTAGCAGTTTTAAAAGGAATTTATCCTGATGGACTTTGCTTCAAATCATATGCCCATGATGTCAGCTAGACTGCCCCATTATATAAACCTGGCCCTAAAACCTTGATTTGCTTTGATTTCCTCAACTGGGAGCATGCCAGCCTGGGAATTAAGCAGTAGTGCTTAATGATGGCATTATCCAACTAAATGTGTGGGGCAGTAGACATCGGGCTTTGGACAAAAATCTTTGGGGAAAGCACTGGACTAGTGGGCCCCCTATAAACACAACAGTACGGTGTAGCCTCAAATTTTTTATTTAGAACATGACCTCACAAATGTGTCTTTTCTTTTCTTTTTTTTTTTTTTTTTAACTGAGCAGTATATTAATTAATCCTGGGAATCATCTTAAGATCCAAGAAGGTACTTTAGGATTTTTCATCGCAAGTGATGCCAAAGAAGTTAAAAGGTAAGAATTTATTTTCATCTGGCTTTCTTTCTGGCCCAACCGTAGACCCCTTGACCGACAGAAGTAGGCAGACTTCCATAACCCCAAAACTCCTTAACATTGTCTATGGGCATCAATTGGTGTAACAAAAACTTCCATGGACTCCTGTTCATGTAGTCAATTCCATATCTTTGAATGAGAATAATAAAATTTTGGAACTAGGGAGCCTAGTTACCCTCTCGTTCATTTTATGGGGGAGAAAATGGGGGCTCAGAGAATTGAATGACTGCTCAAGGTCATCCTGATTTCTGATGACCCAGAATAACGTAACAAGACAATTGGCTCCTTATTGAATTCTCTTTGTATTATATGAGAAATTTACTTGAGAATTATCAGTTTTCTACTGTCCCTGCCAAATAGAATTTCAAAAGGTTTGGATTAATTTCAGATGGAATGTGAAACTGGCTCTATTTCTATTTGTGGCCTCCTGGGTAAGTGGTCGAAGTTGTCAGCTTAATTGTCATGCCACTGTAGGTGCAGCACAGGATTTCATCAGCCTGCGTGTGTCATGACATTTTTATTCGTATCCTTAAACCTGTTTAAGCCACCTAGAAATTCACAGGACCCTTTGCAGCACAACATGGATTATTGTTGTATTTGGTTCTAGCCTATGAACTTGAAGAAATTTTCTAGCAGAAAATGTGATGCAAATGATCAGACAGGTCATTCAGTTCAACTATAACATTCCATAAAATATTTAAAATACATTATTAATTGTGAAGGTCTATCATTATTTATATAAGCCTACTGTCTTCATTGAATGAATTCCTAGTCAAAGCCAGGCCTGTGCTAAGTGTGCTGCATTCTTTATTGCTGCTCTTTAAAATAACCCTGGATGGTAAGTTTTCTTAAACACACAGAGCTTTGGTTTCCTCATCTGTAAATCGAAATAAGTGATTTGTCCAAGGCCAAGAGGTACAGAAGTAAGTGGCAGAGCCCGGATTGGAACTGGTCTTTTCTTTTCTAAAACCCACTCTCTTTCTGGCAAATTTAATAATACTAACAATAAGTTTGGTTCCAGAGCTTGTGCTCTTAATTATTTGCCTGGGGTGAACCTGACACGCTGAGCACAGAATGATGACATGTGACCACAGATACTTATGGTCCTCTTCCTCCCTACCGACTTTAGCAAACTAAGCTATACTGGCCACAGAAGCTTTCAGGAAAAAGAAAATGTGGGCTGATGGAAGAAGAAAGAATTCTTAAATAGGAGGGTTTATTACACGCCAGCAGTATTCTAGGTACTAGGTTCTCTGTATCTAAAACTCATTAAAATCTCACAGCAACCCCATGAGATAGGTAGCATTACTATTTCCCACTTTACATATGAGGAAACTGAGGTACAACTTGGCTAACTAACTTGCCCAAGGCCACACTGCCAGTGAGTAATAAAGCCAGGAAGTTTGGTTCCAGAGCTTGTGCTCTTAATTATTTGCCTGGAGTGAACCTGACATGCTGAGCACAGAATGATGACATGTGACCACAGATACTTATGGTCCTCTTCCTCCCTACCGACTTTAGCAAACTAAGCTATACTGGCCACAGAAGCTTTCAGGAAAAAGAAAATGTGGGATGATGGAAGAAGAAAGAATTCTTAAAACTAAGCTCTCCAATAACTAAAATTTACTTCTGCAAATTGGGGAAAGATTGCCATGATTCAGTTGTTGGAGAAAAATATCTCCCTACTCAGTTCATGGAATCTCCCTGTTCTTCAAGTGTATCCTGAGAACTGGGTATACCTGAGAAGGGAAATTAGGGTGAATGGGACTGAACCTTCCCTCTTTCCCTGCTGCAGTCAGGTCTCCTGGAGAAGAAGCCTGTGCCCTTGTCCAGATTGTGAGACACAAAAGCTTGAAACAGCATCTCAGCACCAAGTACAGGAGGCTGGGGAGCACAGGAGCACTATATATCATGTATACCTCCCAGATAGCAAATATAACATGAAACTCCCATTTGTGTAATTCTGTTTCCTATTGCATCTCTCACTAATGAATGTCACAAATACCAGGCCGTCCAAAAAACGAATTACCTCCTATATTAGGGAGTGCAATATGTCTCATTTCAGTGCTTTATGGTATTCACAAATACATGCTGACACAATCAGCTACAACACCAGCCTGTAATTTTCTGTGGTGTGTGATGTGTCGGAGCAAACGCTGTCAGTTAGGGGATTTCAAATAGATGAAAACTGCAGAAAACCACAGAAAGGACATTGGAGATTTGGATGAAACTAAACAAGTTTTGTAAAAATGGAAAAGTGGATTATGATGATCTAGTATTTAGTTTGCACCCTCTGCTGCAAAAAAGCAACTAAAGAAGTTAATGAATTCTAGCTCATAGAAACCTTCAGATGCAGTGTTTTAGAAAATGATGAGTGAAACCATCCCAGTGCAGTCTTAAGAAGGTCACTTGAGGATGGACATTTGGGCACTTGCTCTTTCCTCCTTGCCACCAAATATTTTCCTTTTTAAATAACCTTGGAACATATCCATTAATATAGGAGCCACAAAACGGTGGCTCAGTGACTCAATTTGGCTTGCACATATGATTCTTTTGAGTCAAAATCTTAAAAAATAAATGAGTTGCCAAGGTGAAAAAAAGTTATGAGCCTTTATATAAAAGTCCTTATTATTGGTTTCTCTTGAAAAAATTGGCAGACCCAACAATACTGGGAAGCATTCTCAAACTCACTCATTAATTCACCCATCAAATGTCTGTAAGTCATTTACATTTAGAAGGCTCTATACAAGGCGCCGGGGAAACAGTGGTGAAAAATGGAGAGAAGTCCCAACTCTCACAGGGCTCACATTCTAGACAGGAAAGAATTACAGTATATTTAAAATTAATGGTAAAAGAATTAATGCAACTGGGTCACTGACTTGGGTTATAAGTGAAAGCTTCTCAGAGGGGATGGCATTTGAGCAGAGATTGAGATGAGGGGAAAGAATCCATCAGGCAGGAATCAGATGGGAAGAGGAGATGGGCTGGGAAGAAGTTCACTGTGGCTAGGGACCCCAAGAAGGAACGTGTGGCTAGGGGATTGCTGTGGGGAGAGTGGTATGAGATGAGGTTAGAGAGAGGCAGAGGCTGACTGGCTCCTAAGGCACTTTATGAAGAGATTGGATGTGTTATAAAATGGAAGTCATAGATGGCTTTAAGCTGATTTGATGTATATTTTGAAAAGGTCATTCTTCCTGCATTGTAGAGAATGAGAGGAATGGGGCAGGAAGAGGAGGTGAGAGACTCACTGCCTACTGCATAGTTTAGGTGAGAGATGATGGCAGCTCAGACTGACAGCTGACAAGGAAAATGGGGTAGATCCTGAGGAGTAGGAAAGGCTCCTGGACAGCCACCTCGGTCTCCCGAAGTGCTGGGATTACATATGTCAACCACCACACCCAAACAAGAGAACTGGTTCTCATTCAGACCATATTTTAGAGAGTGTGCAGGATTCACTCATAAATTAGATGGAAGTAGGGGAAAAAAGAGAAATGAAAGATGAAGGCTAGAGTCAAGGCTTAAATTGTGTTCATTTTAACCAAGGTGAGGGATACTAGAGAAGTGGCAAGTTTTGGCTAGTAGGAAGTTAAGCATTCTCTCTAGGAGATGTGAACTAAATGTACACACAGGGATATCATAAAGGCAGTTGGATCTTATCAGAGTCTGGAGTTCTGAGGATAAGTGTGGACTGGAGATGAAAATGTAAATGTGGGTGCTGTTTCTTGTCCTGGCAAGAAACAGATGACACACTTAAAAAAGGAGGAGAGTTTCATGAAAAGACTGTATAAAGTTTTGGGCAAACAGTTAAGGAAAATCAACAAGGGATGGCTAAGCACTCCAGAGCTAGCAAGAAAGGGGAGCCACCTTCACCGTGGAGATCTGCAGGGTCAAGGGGAAGGAGGGCTATCAGGAGCTGGAGAGAGAGAGGCTGTTCATGCCATTTCATGGACCTGGTGAGGAGAGTACCCAGGGAGTCAAGGTGGTGACATCATCCCTCCCCACCCTCCAGTCTCCTGATGACTCCTCCCACTGGACATGCAGACCAGGAAACCAGAGGACAAAGAGATCACACAGGCCAGCCTTGAAGGACACAAAGCTGGTCTCCTGATTTTGCCATGAGGCAAGATCATCAGCTGAAGGCTGCTTGTGGGAGAGGTACAGTAAGCTGGAGCAAGTGGAGAGGAAAGGAGAAAGAGCTGTTTTGGAGTGTGAGAAAACAAGCACAGGAGAATGGGGTAGATCCTGAGGAGTGCGAAAGACTCCTGGAATCCACCAGCTATGGGTTTAAAGTGAAGTCAGCATGTTTTCTTCCTCAGCAAAACTCGGTTGCTCAGGTGCAGGTGTGCAGCAAGGGAGTGGCTTTGCAAGGTGAGCATGACAGAGGCGGAGATGGGTGGGAAAGAGAATGGTGCTTGCACAGAAATGTCACTTGGCAAAGGTCAGCTAGAGCTGAGATACTCTGCCCACTGTGGCTCACCACGGACACCCCCCCGGCCCTGGCCTCATTTCACTCATTTCACCTTACTTATCTGACCCTGGAGGACATTATGCTTAGTGAAATAAGCCTGGCATGGAAAGGCAAACATCACATAGTCTTATTTACATGTGGAACCTACAGAAGTTAAACTTATAGAAGCAGAAAATGGAATGGTGGTTGCCAGGAGCTGGGAGTAGGAGGGATTGGGGAAATGTCCACCAAAAACATGAAATTTCAGTTAGACACTTGGAATAAGTTCAAGAAATCTATTGTTCAATGTGGTGACTATAGTTAAAAATGAATTGCGTACCTGAAAATTGCAAAGGCAGGTTTGTTGTTGTTGTTTTGTTTTATTTGTTTTTGAGACGGTATCTTGGTCTATCACCCAGGCTCCCAGGCTGTAGTGCAATGGCACAATCTCAGCTTACTGCAACCTCTGCCTCCTGGGTTCAACTGATTCTCCTGTCTCAGCCTCCTGAGTAGCTGGGATTACAGGTGCTCGCCACCATGCCCTGCTAGTTTTTGTATTTTAGTAGAGACGGGGTTTCACCATCTTGGCTAGGCTGGTCTTGAACTCCTGACCTCATGATCCATCCACCTCAGCTTCCCAAAGTGCTGGGATTACAAGTGTCAGACACCACACCCGACCAAGACAGTAGATTTTAAGTGTTGGTACCACAAAAGGTGAAAAGTGTGTGAAATAATGTATATATCAAGTAATGTTAATTAGCTTGATTCAGCTATTCCACATTGTGTACAGATTTCAACATGTTGAATACTACACATATATACAATTATTATTTGTCCATTAAAAACTAACACTTAAAAAGAATACAACCTTAGTTCATGAAGTAAGCACACTTTATCTTTTCACAAGTCTATTCAGGCTCATCATCATTTCTTCATTTCTTTAGTATAGACTTTTGGCTCTGATGCCAGGCTGTGTGAATTCAATCTTGGCTTTGGTACTCTCAGTGGTCTGGCCTTGGGCAGGTCACTTAACTTCTCTGTGCTTCAGTTTCCTTACCTGTAAAACAGAAATAATAATGATACCTCCTTCAAAGGGTTGTTTGAGGATCAAATACGTTTAATGCTTATAAAATACTTAGAACTGCACCTAACTTGTAGTCAGTGCTGTATAAATATTAGCTATGTGGTTGTTACCATTATTATCATTATGTGTTAAGAGCACCAAAGAGGGAGGGAAAATGGCCAAAGGAAGTGGAGGCAGGTTACTTTCCCCAACTTGGATACTTTCTCCTTTCCCGTGCTTCCTGCGTCAAGGTAGACTGATTGGGTTCTTAGCCACATTGCCTCTCAAGGTCAACAGTCAGCTAGTATTTCTTTTTCTCTTTATTTTTTTGTGACATAGACGACAGCTGGCATTTAAAGAAATAGTGGAGAGGTTGCTAGGATAGAGCAAGCATTAGGCTTGGATTCAGAAGTCCTGGGGCTGGCTGAGCCCCAGCATGGAATGACTGGCAGTCCACGGCAGCCTCTTAGTCTACAGATGAGGACACTGAGTCCCAGAGATTTTGGCTTCAAGATCTTCAAGACCTCTTGTGGGTCCAAAAGTCTTAACATTGGTTTCCAGTGGGTGCCGATTATAAATCCAAGTCCTGTGAAAACATAAAAAGGAACCTAAGAATCAAATGGTCAAGAATTGTGTTTATTTCTGAAGCCCTGGTCAAGAAAAAGCCATGTTTATAGCTGGCATTCAATCTCCTGTTGGGAGTGGTGAAGGCACCAAGCCAGGGATTTTGTTAGTTCTTGGATCCAGAAGGTTGTACGGTTTGTTCCAGTGAATTGTATCACCTCCCCAGTACTGAAAGGGCACAGGCTTCTGGTGCTGTTCTAGGCACTGTGACTTCAAATAGTGCTTGAATGATCTTTTTTCTTATCCAGAGTATCTTTGACACAGCCAATGCACTGTGGAATCACCTATAGACATTTAAGTCATATTAGGGGATTTTCTTTTTGGTTGCTTCATCTCATTCTCCTTCTACCCACCTATTCCTTCAATAACCTCTACTCACCCCCTTCCAGTGGTCAGCTGAGCTTTGCTCCAACAGTGAGAAGAAACCCCTCATTTAGTGCATGCTCTCAGGGCTGGATAGCATGGGAATTGGTCCAGCCAGCTTTGGAATAAAATAAGTTATGAACCTCCGAAGGAGGTTTGACAGAGGAACCCACTGACTCATGTCTTTCATTTTCCCCTCCCTGCCCTCCTCAACTCTCTCTCACTTCGGCTGACAAGAAAAGGTGCTTTCAGAGTGACAAGGTTGATATTTTTATTTGACTGAGAAAACAACACGCTTCTGCCCCCTCTAATATATATCTGACCAGACTGTGGGACTTTTGGTGTTGCATCTAACTTCCCCACCAAGGGCCCAGGGCTCATTGCCCACATGTTCCCACAAGCAGCATCAAAGGCTGTTTTCAAAAATGAAAGACGAGTGAGCAGACGGAGTGTGTCACATCAGCAACTTTTTTTCCCAGTTCCTTTGCAAATGGAAGTTTATGAAAAGGAGCACTAACTCAAATCACAGAATCCTGTGTTTGAAATAAATGGTCTTGCAACAAACATTTCCGTCTGTAAATGTCTAAACCTTTCAAAAGATGAAAGGAAATTAATGCTGGCGTGTTTCATTAATTTGGCACCACCATGGAGGAAATGTGGGACTCATTTCATTTGGGTGGATTATGAAACGTGTCAGTTTTTCCATTCTCTTTCTCCAGGGCATTTTTTTACTGCAAGGCCTGTCATGATGACATCACAGATCCCAAAAGAATAAAAAAATGTGGCTGCAAACGGCGTAAGTAATGCTTCTCTCCCCGTCCCCTCCCTCTCTCATTCCTATTCCCCAAATTCCTTTTCCTTCCCTTTCCTTGTTAGAGAAACACTAAACATCAAGAGTTTTCTTGAATATGTTTATGTTTCACCCAGCAGTTTAAAGAATAGGAAATAAATACCTGTCCTCCCTTTGTTAGAGCAGGGGATGAAAAATCACCACCGTCAACACCTGGGAGTGAACCACGTGCCTAGTCCCTGCTTCTTCACCCTAGAGGTGACTCAGTAGGTGCGTCTAGTCTAACAGAGATGAGTACGATGAATAATAAGGAGGAGAATTAAGCCATAGAGAACAGAACAAAGTGTTTTTGTATAGCGATTTCCAGTGGATTGGGGACCCCTGACTATATAGGGTTGAGAGAGAAACTAAATCTGAGGACTTGATCTCCAAAGTGAGAGTTGACTCTTTCCATTTGGAATTCCTGCCAGTTTTAATACCACAGGCTAAAGTTTGCAACTGTGATACCTTCAGACTGCCCCCAAGAAATGAACTTTCCATTGTCAAAGGGCTTACATTGCCATCATCCCAAAGGTTGACCTCAGTCGTCATCACTCTTTGGGGTAGACTGGACCGAGCTCAGTTGTTTCTGGCATATCCTGTCTCAAGTCCCTTCTAAAGCAGTTTGCTGCCATGGCCTCTTGAGAAAAATAGGGTAAGTCCAGAATGTGGAATTGTGAGCTCCTGAGATACCACAACTTAAGTGGCCTTTGCTTTGAGAAGGTTGTGCCTTTTGCAGTGATTATGCTGTATTGTCTAATAGAAATCGTTCTCAATCCTTGAAAAACAACAAAAAAATAATGGTGCCATCCTTCCTATGGTGAGTTAGTGTTTTAAAAGCTTCTTATGATCATTGCTTTGATTCTTACCCAAACCCCATGTAATTGGCAGGAGGTGTTATTAATCCCATTTTACAAAAAGAAGGAACTAAGCTTCCAAGTTTGAGAGGATGAGATTGCAGACAGTCACACAGCCATCATACAGGGATTTGGGCACACCTGAAGGCCTCTCTTGATTCTCTGGGTGCTCTCATAATTTTTTTTCAGGAGGGAGAGGCGAGATGGGCAGTCTTAGGTCTGATGAGTAAGAAAAATTATGAAAGATCATCCCATAAAATACTTTTTCATAAGCAGAAGTCAGAAAGAAGAGGTATGCCACTGAAGGAAGGACCTTTTTCACTGTATTCCTAGAGGGGGCTTCAGAAAATGTAGAACCAGTCATCTATAAATATCCCTCAGCTGGAGCATAACCAAGTTCCTCAATCCATGGGGAAAATTCCACTGGTTGCATTGTTGGTCTAGAGAAATTTCTGCAGAAATCCCCTCAGGATGGGGCAGCTTAGGCCCATGGGTTTTCTCCCCTGCTTTCCACTGACTTAACACACCTGGTCTCCTTTCCCCAGACTCTTACCAAGATAAGTGTTTATTGATGTCTCAAAACAAGAGCCTCTAATTTCTTGGGACCTAAGAATTCCCCAATTCTGACAACCTACCAAGGAGAGCATCTAAGAGAGAACAAGGCATAGAACAAACCTCACTCCCCATTCAACCCCCAAAGACTCCCTGAATCAGAAGACTTTCTTCACCAGGCAGTCCATCCCAGCCATGCTCAGTTGGTTGCAGACACAGCAACACAGCAGAGTTGACCGGACATCTCCTAGATCATTTCAATCAGAAGATACACAACAGTCTGAGGGTTGAGGCAAATAAGAGAGAACAGCAAATACAAGAGGCGAACCCTTCTGTAAAGATACTCAAGTAGTGAGGGGTTGGGAAAGGGAGGAAAGTGAGACCAGTAACCCATGGCAGAATATTTGCCAAACCCTCATCCCACAGAATATCAAGGATATAGCAAGACTGTGATTCACACATTGGTTGACTGTTCACATATTTTTGAGTATCTTCTTTGTATGAGGTACTATTTTGGGTTCCAGGAATGGAGTGGTGAACAAGGTAAATTCCTTGCCCTCCTGAAACCTTCACTCCAGTGAATGTAGACAAATCATGATCATGTAAATAAATTCAGAGACATCCAGTGCTAAGAAGAGAGAAGAGACTGCTTAAGGGTTGAGGAATACCGCAGTGGTGCTACTTTATAGCTTGGAAGGTCAGGAAGGCCTCAGTCGGGGTGGTGTCAGGAAGGCCAAGACACAATCCAGATAGGGAGAAGAGCAAAGGCCAAGGTCAGGAGGCAGGAATGAGTTTGTAGTGTTTTAAGGATGGAAGAAAGGCCAGTGGCATTGGGAAGTTAGTATGAGATGAGATTAGAGAGGGAGGGTGTTGCTATGGTAAGAAGTGTGGGTTTTAGTCCTATATTAGGAAGCCATTGGAAGATTTTAAGTGGGGAAATGTCATTATTAGTTCTTAGAAGATGTCCGTGGTGTTTGAATGGAGAGCATTCTCAGGAGGAAATAGTAGAAGTGGAAGGATGAAGTGAGAACTTCTGTGACTCTTGCTCTGACATTGGAATGTCCCTCATAGGACGCCATAGGGGAACACAGCAGACTAAATTATCCCTAGAAAAAAGAAATAAGGATTTGGCCTCTAGGCTATTTTTCTGCCTTGGTTCCAGACAAGTAAACAGCAGGAGACCTTAGCTTCATCCTGGAAAGAGAGGCACATAATTGTTTGAAATAATTTTATTCTCTTCATTTCTCTTAAAGTTGGTAAAGCTACTACGGTATGTAATCTCCCATATGCACTGCACCAATTGCTGCAAAAGGCCTGCCTCTACAAAGCCACGCCAGTGTGACAAGGGCCTCGCCTACTTCTCTGTACATCCTCTTCCCTCCTCCCCGAACCTCGGCTTCTTCATTTCACAAAGGCCCTTGGCTATGTGACAATCAGAATTGTCCAAATATTGTTCTTCTTAATTAAAAGGCCATAGAACAGAGGGCATGTGTGTGTGGGGTGAGGGGGTGATTAGAATAAAATGAATTATTGAAAATAAACCTCCCCATGTAAGTCAGGCAAGTGAAAAATTGGAGAAGATACATTTTGGTTGCAAAGAAACTTTAATTAGAAGAAACTAGGATTATTAATAACACACTAGGGGGACTCCCATGCCTTCAAACAGACATTGCTTGTTTGCCTGTCTAAGTTGGAGAAGACAGCTGACCCACATACTCATTTGTCCAAACCTGTTAGTCGAAGGAATTAATAATTCACCCTGGAATGATAGATTCCGTGAGGGCAGAGCTCATGATGGTCACTGGCCCTTCCCCACAGCTTCCTAACCCTTCTTCCCCAACCCAGTCTTCCCCTTTCACTTCCACCCGAACCTACCCATTTCACTTTCATTCAGTAACCATCAACATTTCACATCATCTCATCTGGAGAAATATCAGGTGTGGACATTCCATTTCTGGAAATCCTGTGATTGTATAGCTTAACATTTGCATTTCTTTCCATTTCTTCATAGCTCTCTATCAAGGAAAAGAGTCAAATTCAGCTGTCTGGCCAAGGAGCAAGTTCTGAGGGTCTACTATTTACCCATTTTCTTTTTCTGTATAATAAACCTTGTCTAATAATTTACATTTTTCCCCCAGCCTCTAAAAGTTTGCCAAAGTGTGGACTCCTAGGGGACAAGTCATGTCTACTTTGATGTGTTAGAAGGAATTTTCTTTGACTTCAAATCATTGACATATCTTTGATTTATTCTTTTTCTCTTTGCTGCCTTGGAATACGGCCCCTACTCTATTTTAACTGCACACTGGTAGTGATATATTGTGAGTAAAACGGGTTCCCAGCAGCCCAGAGTCCAGTTCCCCCTGTCTTTCTCTAGAAGCAATACTCTTTTAATTTTCTGTACAGTTTTAGTTTCCTTTTTACTTTTGGTATTTATGTTGCATGTAGCAGTGACATCATGCCACAACTCCTTCATCTCCTAATGCAGTCTACAGAGTAGCCTGGAGCCAGAGAGTCCACAGGGAACCTGCTCTCCATGCATCCTCCCCAGTCCCCAGGCTCTGGTCAGCTTCGGGCACTGTCTTATTTTTCCATTTGAAAATAAGACCTTGACAACAGTGTGTTTCTATTGAAGGCCTTGTCTCAGGACTTTTAAGGGATACTGATTAGACTGAAGTAATTACCACTGTAGCTCTAGATGCTTTATCAGCTGGGGTAATTGTCATGCTTGCCTTTGATAAATTATACTTGGTCTCCTTTGCTATTAAGCTTGAATTCCTTTCCTAAAGGAAACACATTTGCCACATATATATTCCCATGTTGTCATATATATATATATATATATATGTATACATATATATACACAATATGTACCATGATGTAAAAATGCACATTTTTACATATAGGAGTAGAGAGATCCCATAGAGTGATGTATTTATTGCAGTATATGCCTCTCTGTATGAGAAGTGCTTGCTAGATAATTAACCGGTTACTCAACTTTGGGACTGTAAGTATCTCAGTTGTCTAATGGAGACAAGTATTTGCACAGTGGTAATTATTTTCTGCAGTCTATGAAGTTCCCTTGCTTTACAATAAAGTTTTTCTTTTAGTCAGTACTCAGTAGGATACACTCAGTTCCTATATGAGTGTTAGTCAGACATCTTGGAAGATACATTTACCTGTTTAAGGCAGAAAAGCTGACTGAGGTGAATATTCCATTTCCACAATGAGCTATGTCTAAGTCTGAACAAGTCAATGTAAGTGTCTGAGCCTCTAACTTACTCAAGGAATAGGATGCCCTCTCACTCAACAAAATGTGGCCATTGAGGAGGAGCTTTTAAGGCCAGCATTGAGCTTTGGGTCTTTATTCATGTTTGTAAGACTCTACTGAAAAGGAGACCCAGTCTGTGGCATAGTTCAGTCCAATGACTCTGGAATTTGGGGAAGATGTTTCAAATTCAGTCCTCTCATTCCTTTGCAGAAAAAGAGGCAAGTTGATCATCCGATTTGGGTTAATCATCAGTGTTTGCATGGTATAGATTGCTCACTTTAAAAACAAAACACAAGGATGATCTTCTTCAATTCAATGTGCAATCTTGCCAAAATTGACTCTGTGGCTTTCTTCATTGACAGAATCCTTTAACATATGGCTTGAGGGCATGGCCCACTTTCACACCTGCAGAGTTGCCTACTAAATTGAACGCTCCTGCAGAATTGGAGAGAAAACATGATGTCAATCAACCAACAACTCTAGTGCCAAATACTTCTGCCTTCCTCAGCCACAATATGGTCACTGGGGGCAGAATCAACTAGCTCAGCATGTTCTGCGCTGCCAACATTAACTAGCTTTTTCTTTCTCCTCTGTTTTTGGAAAACCACCTGGAAGACCTTCCTTCTTACTCCAGAAGGTAATGGGAGGAATTTTGCTAAGTGAAGATGTCGATTCTCATTTATAGGACTTGGAAGAAGATTCTCTGATTCCCCGTGCCACATCAAAGGCCTCACCTTAAATCCTGGTGGACTTTTTCTTCCGTGGATTTTTGTATTAGTAATGTTAGTTGCTTCAGAGCACATGAAGTGTAGCTCCAGGGTTTATGCTTGGAAATAATCCCTCCTTCACTGGACTGATTTTGAAAGTGAGGTTGTGACCTGCAAAGTATCTATTCATTGAATGGCAGATGTTTTTTTTCTTTCATCCCAGTCTTCCCTTGAATTTATTTCATTTGAAATCTAAAATATTTTTCCCCAGCAGTTGGAAAACTCCACCTGGGCTCCTCAATCCAGCACTGCTTTTTCCTGCCCCTTCCAATCCATCCTGGAAATTAAGATTCTGCAATTGGAAATTGGCTGACAATTTGGTTGCTGATGCAGGAGGCAGATGGTGCTGAGGATAGGATGGAATCCAATTCTTTCTTCCATTCCAGGCTTGGCTCAGAAAGGCCAGTCAGCAGAGAACCTGAGTTTGACAGCCGATTATCCATTTGACTCAAGGAAAGAGCAGTAACTGAGCTGCGTCTTCAGCAGCCCCTTTCCAACAGTTTTCTGTTCTCATTCTCACAGCAGCCTTTGAGAATACAGGAAAAGTTGTCCAAGAACACCTCTGAGAAATCTTTTTATTTTAAACACTCAGGAGTAAACATAGTTTTGGTGATGTCCATTAGGAAAATACCTTTATTTTATCTCTGTAAATAGTACTAGGAAGTCATAATGGAAATATTGGTTGGATATCCACTTCACTGTGGTGAAGAAAAGCACGTAAAAGCTTTTTCTCAAATTGCGAAACTTCTAGGACCTAGGTCTTTGGGGAAGATGAGACCCAGGATCAAATTCTTAGCAACCACATAACCTCATGGACTCTGTGCCCTGGTCCAATAACAAGAACCTTATGATGTGGCCAGAGGGTAAACTGAGTCCCTAGAGCCTTGTATTTCTGCTTTCCTAGAGTTGTTTGCCTATGGGGACAATTAATTGAGCATGAAGTTTCAGGAACCCTAAGATGGAATGATAAATAGCTTCAGTGTTCACACTTGCCAGAGACACACTCTTGTCTGCCCCTAGTCTGAGGAAGCTGCAGCAGGGCTTTAAGGAGATCCTGTCTGTTGCCACTGAAATAGTCCTACTGTGCTGGCTGTGGCTGCAGACCCTAGGCTCATCTCCTAGGACCTCTCACCCTTTCATTTCCCCTACCTCTAATCATCTGCTGTGGATCGTGAGAAGCCATTGAATTGAAATGACACTGCACATATTTCAATTCTTAGAGACAGCAGGGCCCTCTTTCTGCTCCTTTTGGAGAAAGGCTAGTTCCAATTGTCCGTGAACTAGCTGCTCTTCCACATCGATCCACTAGATGTCCTCATAGATCTACTTTGTATTACCATTGACTTCCCGGGGAAAACCTTGTCTGAGAATTGGGATTTGGGAAGGGAACAATGGGTGACTATGTAAGAAGGAAAATTAGCAAACACCAAAGGAGAGAGGATGTTTTGTGTGGCCAGGGAGTAGATAAGAAACTTACTTCTGTTTTAAATAAATCCTGAAACTTTCAAAGTTGCACTTTGAGACCTAACCTTGGGAACTTAAAGTGGAACTCTTTGTATCTAAAATTAACCTTCTAACCTAAATCAGCTCTAGAAGAGGAAACAATCATTGAGAAATGGAAACAAAACACCAGTCATTCTGAATATCCATGACTCCCTGAAACAAAACTGAAGGATTAGGAAGCTGGAGAGAGATGAGTGTTGGTAATTTACAAATTAGGAAGTCCACGGCTTTATTTAGACATAATTTAGTTTTACAACTTGAGAGTATAATTTTACACAGAGAGTGTTCAATTCTTCTGGAACATCTACCACCAGGGAGACAACTCCTGATCAGCTTTTAGTTAAAGAGCTTTTTCATGATTTGTATAATGGTCCAGAGGAGATCTCTTCCTGGCCAGTACTCATATCCTTCAAGCCTGATGAATCAATCACTCCACCAGATGGGAGGTCTTACCTTTTAAGAAAGTGGACCCAGAAGTCTCTAGGTGAAGACACCTGACAGGGAGTCAATGGAAATGGACTATGCCAGCAGTAGCGAAAAAGAGCCACCCTCCCAGTTGGTGGCACCTTGATCTAAACATTCTGATTCATGAAGGTTTGTCAACGTGTGGGGCTCATTTGTTTTTAACTGTTTCTGTCTTGTCTTTGAGCCTCTCATTGATCATTCCTGCTGATTTTTTTTTGTGTGTGTGGTGGTACTTGTTTGTCTTTTGAGATTTATATTTTGCGTTTGGTGTGAGTGTAAAAATGACTGGGAAGGAATGACGAGTAATAGCATGTTTTCTTTTTTATGCATATGCTGTTTTCGAATGTGACTGCTTATAATTAACAGTTAATCTTCTTATAGCAAATGGTTTTTTGCTGCTTCGATGACCAGTTTCAGCCTGTTCCTGCATGCTAACAATAAGAAATTTTAGAACAATGCATGATCACCAGAAATAACAGTTGCAAACAGTCCCTGAGAGCCACTGGTTTGTTGCTGTGTTTCCTCCTGAACTTATATCAAGTAGGAGGTTTACATCACCTATCCTGATCCATTTGCCTCTGAAAAAAATAGTTTCAAAAGTTATTTCATCCCCATCATCCCTCCCCTTATCCTTATAGATGGTATATTTATAAGATCTTTCTTTCCCCATAAATGTGTCAGATTCTATTATTGTGTATAAACCCAAAATGGCACTATGGAAATGAAAACCAGGGACTGTTGCTAATGAGAAGCATAGCATTCCAGAGTTTGATGGGCTTCTCTTCTGCTACAGCATTTGATTAAAAAAATTGTTTTTCAAAACGATTTATCTGCAGTGAAACAAAAAATCATTCTTGTTTTCCTCTTCTGTGTAAATAACAAATTAATATTTCCAGTAAAAGAACTAAGAAGGAGGAAACAAGGGAATGTCTGCAGGTTGTATGCCAGATCTGGATGCATTTAAGATAAATTTGTGTTCATGACTTTAATTGAAGACTTTTTTCCCTTTCTTGACTTTAGCCATTGCTGTTTGTTTGGGATGTCTGGGCATTCACACCATGCCTTCTAAATTCCTCTGATTCAAATGCTATAGTGGAACTTTTTTTTTTTTTTTTTTTTGGTAAAAGCTAAAGCTCAAAGGAATGATATACCACTGTTGAACAGGGCTGGGGCTGCATGATGATCTGAACAACAGACTAGCTAGGACACTAAAAGAACATGTCACTAAAAATGTGAGCCAAGTTTACAAGAATGGAGGTGCTGCTGAAGAGATCTCTCATTCATCTCCCCCAGTGCCTGTTCTTCACAATCATAACGTTACCCTTGCTTGACAAATATACTGTATGGCAAGTCATAAAGGTCTTAGAACAGGACTTGACCCATTTGAGAGATTTAAAACCCCTCTTCCTGGTGACTGTAACATTCAAAGAGGGCAAAACCACAAGCCATATTTTAAAATAAAAGTGCAACCATTCTCTACAAAGAAAAAGAAAGAGGCGGGGGGAAACGACTTTTCAAAATGGAAGGTGTGGATGCGGGGAAAAACACCTCCTCAGTTTAGTTTCACTGTTTGGCAGTCGTGCATAGAATAAATGTGAATTCTTCTCCCACCTTGTGAGAGAAGCAGGCCAGTTCATGCTAAGTGATAAGCAAACATGTTTGCCTGTTGTAGCATCAAAATGAGGTACAAAAACCTTCTCTTGTACTGAAATATAAATTGGCTTGAATGGCAAAGGGGAAGGGCATTGGAAACTACGATGCTGACTTCCAGCAACTTTGATAGGTTACCACTCAGTTTGGATCCCCAGGCAGTGCAGAACCTACCATACCAGCTTTAGAAGAGCTATCAATGCTGCATGCAAATTGCATTAAGATATTTCACACAAAACCTGTTCTTTTATTTCATGTTCTCTCATTTTTAATTGATTTTGGCCAATATTTTCTTTATATATATGTATATAAAGAATATGATTATCCACTAGTCTGATTGCTTTCTGAATTTCTATTGGGTGGGGAGAGAAAGGCAGATGTGATCTTCAGATCCTCTCAGCTTTAAGCAGAAAAATACACCCATGAGTAGCTAAATGCATTCCAATAGAGCAACATCTCATATGCTTTTGGTGATTTCTTATTTGTGAGCTGCCTTTAATGTCAAATCTGCAACATTAGTCTTGAGTAGCTGCATTTCTTATATGGACAGATTTGGATATTTGTTCTGTCAAGAGTAAATTTAAATTCCTGTAGCCATCATGTAAACTCACTCTCAGGAAGTTCAGCAAAGGCATCCTCAGATTCTATATTAACACGTAATCGTTTCCCATCTAATTTGATGAAAGCTTGTCCCAGCCTCTGCCTAATGCCCAGAAATGGATGGAAATTAGAAAGCCTACATATTAGATGTTTTTGCATCTTGCAAAGACCATTTATTATGCCAAATAAGCAATTAATTTAATTGATTGGCAGTGTATATATTTTGTCCTCCTGTATTCATCGTATCAGGGGAAAAGTGTTGTTACATTTTTTGCTGTCTGTAATTTGCTCTTCTTCCCATTTCAAGAACCCGAGTGTATTCAACCATGCCCTTTTCCTGTGGTCACCGCTTTACTTAGGGAAGAAAAATCATGTGCAACAGCCTTGGGGGACGATAAAGGCAATTTATATTTTCGCTGCTTTTTTGATGTACAACCAAACTGTTACCAACAATCACTCTGCATTTTTTTCTGGGTCAAGACTGTTAAAGTGAACTAAGACCTGTGTTAAATCCCTTCAGCTCCCTTCCAGCTGCCTTGCTGTGTGTGACCTTGCCATTAACTACCGCTCTTCCTCTCCTCCATCCAACCACACGTTTATAGCCAAGATGTCCATCTACAAGAGAATGAGACGGGCATGTTGTTTTGATTGCGGACGTTCTGAGCGTGACTGCTCGTGCATGTCAGGCCGTGTGCGTGGTAACGTGGACACCCTTGAGAGAGCCTTCCCACTTTCTTCTGTCTCTGTTAATGATTGCTCCACCAGTTTCCGTGCCTGTAAGTTTAACCTCGACACACACCGTTCCGTGTTTGTGCTGTCTGTGGTATCATCCCTGTTTTGTGCTGTGCCCTGTGGTTGTGAGTCAGTCGGGCTGATGTCTTCTTCCCAGTGTGAATTCCTGTGTGGTGACATGTTACCCCAGCTGCCTGTGTCTCTGTGGACGTGCTGAGGAAGGACTCCCTTCTGATTTTCTTAACTTGTGCTTCTCGTAATAGCCTGCAGGACTGTGATATTACCATCTGGTGATATCTTTCCTCTCTCTCCTTTAAATAAATATAAATGGAAATTAAAGTGACAGCGTATCACCCACTGTATTAATACAGAGATATGTGGAAGTGTACATCTTAATATTTTGGGAATGGCTGTAAATTGAATTGTATCAAAGGGAGGAAGGAAAAGGTGTAGAGAGAACAAGCCAGCTCTAGCATTAAATTGCTTTTAGTGAGCTTAGTTTATTAGATTGGTCCCAAAATGCAACAGAGTTTTGTTGCAGATGGGTATATATATATATATAAATATTTGTAATTTTTTTTTTCTTTTTACAGTGTCTCTCTAACCTGTGCCTCATTCCTCCAGTGCCAGATTTTGTCTTTTGTTCTGGGAAACAGTATTCTGTGCCTGTCAGCCTGCATGGGCTGGTGGATTCCAGAGCTTTTTCTCAGAAAGATGACTATTTTAAAGAACTGTTTTATTAATCTCTTTTATTTGTCCAACAGTATAGTCCTTGTATAACTAAGGTGTCTTGTAGCAATTGTGATTCCAAATACCAACAAAAAATGTAAGTCAGAAACCTCTGTGATTTCCCTGAGTCCATGGCAAAGGCCTCTGATGTCAGTCTTCTTTGTATCCACAAGCTCAGAGATGTTAAAGAACCTGTCAAGGTTATGCAGCTAGTAGCTGGCAAGGCTGAGATGTGCCAGTTTCCTGAGACCTCCCTTATCCTTGCCTTCACCATATACTTTACTGTTTTGCTGATACGGTTCATCAGTGAAGTTTCTGGAGTGCCAGTTTGAGACCCTGGGACTGTGGGTCTTGGTCCAAGGGCAGAAGAGGCTGTGGTTCCACTGCAGGGCTTTACCTGAAGTATAACTGTAACTGGTTTTCACTTTTTGGTAGCATAGAAGGTAGGGGATGGTTCTCGTTTCTGCATTTCATCCTTTCCTCTTTAAAGCATCCAACACATTGATTGCTAACCTCTTGCTGTCTGTCCTCTCACCTTCCAAGTGCTCAGAGCTGGTTGAGCTAAACTTTCCCCAGAAGGGGTAGGTGTACACTGATGACAGGAGGAAGACGAGCATTGAGCTCTTAAGCGTTTATTCCCATGGAAAATGAACTGGCTTGACTCCCCTGTGCCAGTGTTGAGGCTGGTTTCAGTGGAGTGCGCCTGTGTGGCAGGGATCCATGAGGCCTCCAGGGCTGAGGGAGCTGGGACTTCACTGTGTGTCATGCTGGGTGCTGATGTCTGGGCCTGACGTTCAAGTGCGAAGCATGATCTGTGCATCTAGCAGTATTAGAAGCATTTGGAAAGCTTTGATCTAGGACTGGAGAGTCATCCTCTCTGATTCACGATTTCCTGTTCCTCTAAAGCAGTGCCAAGGGACAGGATTCACTTCAAAGTAATACCTAAAGGAGGTTGCATTGAGAGGGATTGTGGACTGCCACACGGGCCTAAAATCTTGGAAAGGTTTCTATTAAAATCCTTGGATGCTGCCATATGAATCCTTATCACTTTATTCACCCCTCAAGAGCTCTTTGTGGTTTATATGCCACTACAGGGAACTCATCTGTCTACTATGTGCAGAAAGACACCAAGTTCAAAGACGGGTGCTGGGGAGGAAGAGCAGAGGAGGGCCTGAGGTGGCACAGTTTGGTCACATCTTTTTGACTGATGGTGGTGAAAGTAACCATAAGCCACCCGGGTTACCCTCTGCCTAATGCACAACTTATGTTCTTAAATAAACATGAGGCTCTAAAACCTTGGCCTAGATTCAGCGGAGAAAAGAAAGGAGCCACTCTGGCTCTGAGCTAGGGCCCCATGGACATGTCCTGGCACTGGCCAGCAATACCAATCACAGCAAACTCTATGTCCCCCGCATAGACCCCATGGTGCCCAGAATGTGTAGTTTTCATTATATCCAAGAGAAACCATAATTAGAGGGATTTCTCAGCTGTGCAACTTAATCCAAGCATTGATGGAGGCCAGGGAGAAGAAAAACTTGGGGTGGGATTGTCCCATCCTCTAAGAAACATTCTGTGAGTGGCATGTTGTCCCTCCTGTGCCTCCAAAATCAGCCCCCACCAGGGAACACGTGGAGCTTTGGGCTGCATGTTGAAGCCTTAACTGGTATTGACAGCTCAGGGGGCGGTTTGCCTTCTCTGTTTCATCAGTCATCCTGCCGCCACCACTCCATCAAACAAAAGCCGATTTCATCCATCCCTATGTGAGACCACTCACCTTTGACCATTATTAATAAGTTAGAAAAATCCTTTCCAATTTGAGCCCCTTCTCAGGCCCACATAAGCCCCTCTTCTCCAATTAAAAAAAATGTCTGTCTCCACGTGAAATTCCACTGGCAGCACTCCAATAGCAATCCCCAGGCATCCCTCACTGGTGGTGGAGTTGGGTGGTGCCCGTTTGACAGAGCAAGTTGACTCAAGAGCAGCAGTGAGAGTGGGCTTTTCATTAAATATGAACAGATGTGAAATGTAGAGGGTTTGACAATTAGAAATGGCAGGAGAAGGGCCCTCGAATCAAAGTGAGGTCAGATGGGCGGATCAGATTACTTCTCTTACATTCTTTAGTTGTTCTGAAAATCATTTTGAATTAGTGTCAGCAGAGCCATGATGGGTTTTGCCCTTTGTCTTTTATGCGAGGGCTGTATTGTTTCCCAAGACACTCATTAAAGGTCATTATACTATTATGGAGCTGCTTTGGTGCCAGTTGCCCAGTTGAACCAGCGTGCTTTGGAGATGCCTAATACATTTCTCTCTTGCCTTTCGTCTCCCCCTTTACTAATATTTTTTTCTTATAAGGGGAAAGATTTCCGTTTTCAAAGGATGTTAAATTGAAACACGAAGTCTCATTATGTGTTTTCTGAAGTGGGAAGAGAAGTAGCTGGTTCCCAGAGGAATGGTAATATATTAAAAGTGTTCACACAGTTCTAAAAACCTGCCTGCTAACAGCAGGGGCTGCCTGCTGGGTGCACCCCTCTTTGGAGGTGTGGCTTATTACCGTGGATCGGTTGTTAAATCACGTGCTATGATGATAGTTGTCTCCTGTTGAACTCAGGAGGAGATGGAAGCCCAGAGTGTTGACAAAAAGACCATCAGAGGGGAAGGACTAGATTAGGAAAGACCAAAAAAAAAAAAAAAATGCTCAGAAAAGTAAGGCAAATTGAGACTGATAAGGATTCATCACAAAGGGATTTTATTTCTGGCAAGACTGAAGTGTTCAATATGGCAGGGTAGAATCAGTGCATAGAATGTCATTTTCTGATCATCTTGGTTTTGTTTCCACTTCATATGGTCCTGGGCAAGAGTCCCAGCTCTCTCAAAAGACACCAGGATGGTATGGGCCTAGGCTTTTTCACAAGTAGCTGTGTTCTAGTACTATTAAATGTAAAAAATGTGTGTCTAGCAACATATACACACACATGAATTTAGAAGTAGATTCCAATCAGGGCAATTTCTTCCCACTATAGTTTTGTAAAATAAACCTTTCTGTCTCCTTAGAAGTTTATTCTTGTTATTTCAGTCTTGCCTGCTGTCTGATTGCTAAGTGTAGTAGAAAGGGACAATTAAAATTATGATGCAGTGACAACATAGGACCATATTGATTGAAACCTGCTGAGACCTGCCTGACATGATTCTGGTCACAAAGCATCAGTAACTCTGGCACAAACAAATTAATCATGTGGTAGAAGAGAAGCAGACCTTTAGACTTGCACTTGGAACCAGCTTTAGCTAAAGTACATGTGTGATCACTCACACTCACCTTTCAATTTTCTAATAGTTTAAACCTGCACAATTACATGCATCCTTTTGCAAACTACTGTAGCTAATTTTAAATTATACATGACTTTTATTTCGGGTATAAATATAATACAAGAAGACATTCAACTCCAATGATTAAGCTGAGAGAAGTCCAATATGATTAGGTTGAAGGGAGACATACCAAAATCAGTTTAGTGTAATCTCAAGTCTTGTCAGATAATAAACAAAAATCAGCTTATCCTGAGTAGCCTTTGGTTTGTACAGGCAGAGAATTAACATTGTCCATAGAACTAAAGTCACTTGAGTGAACTAATGGCATTTTGAAGTACATAAAATCAGATAGAAGGGCAGGGAGTGGAAACGGCCCTAGGAAAATGTCTGTAACAGGACACACCCTATCCTGACAGTCCCCCACACCTGTTAAAGGGAGAGTTAATTTAATAAGCTGCATTTAAAAATCAACAGCCTATAATTATCTCAGTCCCTTTATGTGCAGTTTTGGGTGACTTCCTCAAACTCCCCAATCCTAAATTCTATTTGCTTATTTCACTTCTGGGCCCTAAAATCAATGACTCCCCTCCTTCCACCACCACTACTAGTGAGAAAAAGACAGAAAAAGGAGAGCCAAGGATACTAAGCAGAAATCAATTTAATCATAGTTTTTCATGTATTCTTTTTAAAGCTCGTTCATCTGGGCCTCCATTTTTTTTCTGTCTTCCCATGCTTGCTATGCTGGTGTGAGTGCTCTCTGTCTCTCTTTCTCTGCCTTGCTTTCTCTCTCAATATCCATTACACATGTGCACACCAAGCACTACCAGAGCCTTTGGCTTCTCCCCTGGCTCTTTAGCTACTCCGGTCCATGTGTCCTGATTTGACCCTTTGTGCTTCTTTGCAAGAAGTAAAAACAGAGTGGCAGATGGGCCTAAGAGGTCTTAGTCACAGAGGATGGCTCAGTGGCTGCCAAGAAGGGGCCTGGAAGGGGCTTATAGGACACTCTTGGTGG